TTGTCTATAATGTGGTACTCAAGCAAAAATCTGTTGAAAATGTGAAAAGCCCTATCATAAGGTTCTTCAGGTTAGTGGAAAAACCTAATTGTGAGAGGTAGCACCCATGAGCTAGTAGATTATCCAGTCCATGACCAGTTCCTGCCACTGTGGTGGCGGGGTAGCAACTTGGGCCGCTTTTGGCAATGCTACCTGGAACACCTAAAATCGAGATAGAGACAAATAGCTGCTGCGAAATTTAGAACTCCAGGAACATGTGCACATAAAGAAAAAATTATGTCTAGCAGCTAGCCATGTCAGCCTCCTTATGAAACGCATGATGGTCAGGGATGACGAGCGTCCCTTGTTAACAATATGGCATGTAGCCATGTTGTCGGAAAAGCATCGTACCGTATTACCTGACTAGCATAAGCCCCATTTGACTGCAGCTGCCACGATCGGGTAAAGTTCAAATAATGCCGAAGTGTTAGTGAAATCTTATTCACTTATTGCCAAATATTGCTGCAAAACTGTATGTGGCAGCAGCATCTGTCCAGATTGAAAAAAACTTGTCAGTTAGTACCAGAATAAATGCTTTTTTCCATTCCAATTTAGCAGGAATTCCCTCCACATGCATAAGTCGGTGGTGGCATGCAGATCCAGCACAATGTGGGAGGAATCCGACTGAAATTGGGAGAAAAGACAAAGTAATCTGGATATAAATGACCTTCCTTGCAGAATGGATCTTCATAGCAAAAGTGAGGGAACCCAACAGTGATTGGGGTTCCCTCCTATTGCAAGAACCTGCTTCAAGGTCCAAGATAGGATGATACAATCCTACAAGATAGGATGAGTTCAATTTTTTCAGTAGGGAGGCTGGCTTGGATATGAACTGGGTCCAAAACTACCCCAAGGAAATTTATAATAGTATTGGGACCTTCAGTCTTATTTGGTGAAATAGGTACGCCCAATCGCTCGAACAGTTGTATAGCAGCATGGAGGCTGCTGGGAGGTAGTAAGTTATCTTCTACAGTCAAAGTCATACAGGTAATGAATCACTACTGGGCATGTAGAGATGTTAAGTAGCATCCAACACAACATCTCAGCGAACATATCAAAGATCCTTGGACTGCTTTTCGAACCAAACGTGAGACGTGTGAAGAAATAGTATTACCCTTGCCACTTAACACCATGTAGATGCCAAAGTGAAGGGTAAATAGGGAGGAGCTTGAAGGCATTCACTATATCTGTTTTGGTAAGCCAAGCTCCTACTCTGGCTGACAGGATGGCATCTATGGCATTGTCAATGGTAGCGTATTGGAGCGAAAATTCCTCAGATGGAATGAGAGAGAGCTGAGAATAGGTGTTGTAGTAGCGTGGGGAGCAGAGAGGTCGATGATTAACCTTTGCTTATTCGAAGTTTATTTCGAGGGTTAGTTATCCACATGGAAAAGGGTGGAGAGTTGAACGGACCTAGTAAAAACCCCTGATCTACTTCTTTTCTTTCTTGAGCAGCTCGTTGATAGTGTCAGTGTTCGCAAGAGCTGTCTGTAAGTTGTTGCATTCGACTATCCCTGAAGGCATGTAAATGATACCTGTGTGAAACCCATCCGTAAACCCAGACACAAGAAATTCCACTAAATGTTGTGAGGGGTGGTCGTACAACAATTCCCTAAGAGTGAGATATTTAGTAGTGTGTGTGTGTGGAACTGCACTCACTCCCATAAATCTGAGCCAGGGTGCTTGCTGAACCGGATTCAAACACCAGATTTCCAAAAATGAATAAAGTAATAGAGGTCCAGGCACTCCTTGGTTCAAGGCAGGTACTTTATTAGGAACCACAACAGCAATCAATATTGTATTTATGTTGTGTATATGTGTATTTTATTAAGCATAAGACAGAATGAGAGTGACAAGTGAGGCGACTATGATTTGGCCCGTGGAACCA